GCTGCACGTACGGGGATGCTGGACCGCCTGCCATGCTGCCAGCAAAGATGCGAATGCCACCGCTCTCGGTTGCCCACGAACTTCGAAAATGGATCTTCTGGCATCCGGATACGGCGCGTCGGTACCGGATAAAGCGCCAACAGAAGATTTGATCTTCTCTTGTTCTCAATTTTCGAGAACAACACCAACCGCGCCAGTAGCAGCTGCCTGCAACCTTGCGGGTACAGATACCTCCCTGGAGGAGGCCGAGCAAGAGGCAGCGGGCGGAGCTCGGATACCGGAAAGGTTGTGATGGGGTCGTAGCACTGGAAAAAAAGTGATGTGGCTGTCGCAGAGCTGCACTTCACCGGATGCGACCGAGTGGTCTTGCCTCATTTCACTTTTCAGATTCGCAGATTCGCAGATTATTAGGGGTGCTAGTACGTACGGGGTGTGACGACACCGTCGAAGGGCGTGGGCGAGCTCGAGACTGCGTCAAGGACGAGCTAGGGTTCGGGCTGGGAAGAGGGTTAGGGATCCATTGACGAGTGCACTGCTGATATAGCCTCGACGCGCCAGACACGCAATCCAGGACGCACAAGACAAGATTGTTGATTCAAAAATGAGGCAAACGATGCTTTCGCGTCGCACTTACAAGGGCGCGCCGACACCGCCATCGACCGACGACTTGCACTTGATACCTTGGACGCCGCTGGCCATGGCGGCGGCGTTCGGCACGTAGTAGCAGTGACCGCGCTGCAGCCCGCCCTGCACCGTCTTGCTGAGGTCCATGCCGCCAAAGACCCAGTCCTTCCCAAAGGTGACAAACTGGACCTTGAGCCACTCCTTTGTGAAGCTGAGCTCCATAAAGCCGTACGGCGTGCCCGTCGCGAGCCATTGCCTAGACATGAATTCCATGAGCATGCGCGATGAAGTGAAGGGTAGGGCTACGTGGTGACGTTGGCGACGACGCTGGCGGACGGCGACTGCGAGATGATGCCACCGCCGGCGCCGTTTTCAAAAAAGTGCGTGCCCCACGTCGAGATATCGTGGTTGAAGCCGTGCGTGTGGCCGTTGAACCACGCTTGGACGTTCGTGGACTTGCAGAGGTCGAACCACACTTGCATCTTCATCGGGTTCATGTGGTACTGCGGCGAGTAGTGCGTGTTGATGATCTTGAAGTCCGCCGTCGACGCCGCAATGTCACGCTTGGCCTGCGTGAGCGAGTCTTCGGACCACCCGTTGAGCACCTTCATGCACGCTTTGTACATGTCGGCACTGCCACCGGCACAGGCCGGCTGACCGACGTTGACGTTGTCGCACACATTGCCCGGGAGCTTGAGCTTGGCCGCGTACCCGTAGCACTGGCAGCAGATCTCGTTGGCGCCGTGGCTGTCGGCGTAGTTGGTATCCAAGTTGAAGATGTCGATCGAGACGCCGTTCTTGGTGACGCGTTCGACGTAGTAGTGGTCCTGGAGCGACCACCTATGATTTGACCTCAGCGTTGCCAGCGAAACGATACGTTGGTAGCACTGTCATACCGGTTGCCATTCGGGCTCACATAGGCTTTTTGCAAGTCAAAGCGCTCGTTGAGATTCTTGACGAGGTCCGCCGAGTCGACGCACTCGCGGAAGTGGTTGTCTTCTTCGCCGCAGATGAAGCCCGAGCCGCCAATGTCGTGGTTGCCAACAACGTTGATCCACTTGATGCCGGCGAGCGACGGCTGGTTGTACTTGTCTTCGAACGTCGTCTGGAAGCGGTACCCGACATCTTTCGTGCCGACGCCGTCCCAGTACATGTTGTCGCCATGCCCGAGGATGCGCACGGGCTTGAGCTCGGCCGCCGACTGCGCGAGAAGCGTCGCCACGTACTGCTGCGCGTAGTAGTCGACCTTGTAGCGCGGGTTGCGCGTGTCGACGGCGCCGTTGTAGAGGACGCAGCACGAGCCCGGGTTGCCGTTCGCCTTGCCCGTCGTGCTGCCCCAGTCGCCAATCGCCAGCATCGTCACCGCCGGCGACTGCGTCTCAGGGTCCGGCATCGAGATGCCGTTGCTCGTCGACGTCACCGACGCCGTGGTCGCACTGCCACTTGCCGACGTCGACGTGGTAGTGCCACCCGACGCGACCGAGGCGCCTGCGGTCGCATTTTCGCCGTTGACAATGATCGACGCCGCCGTGACGGCGATCGCAACGAGGGCGACGCCACCGAGCGCACCAAAGACGAGGTTGCGCCGCTTCTTGGTCTACGCAATTGTGACGCACTGCGGCGAGGAGCTAGCGTGTCGTACCGCAGCGGTCGTGCCACTGAGCAAACCGGCGGATTCGAGGTTCTCGGGGGTCTGTCTCGTCGGTGTCTATGCATACAACGTCATGTACTGTGTCTAGAGTAGGCGCACGACCTGCATGGAAGCCATGGTCGCGGCCAAGAACGCTTTTGCGATGTGCGACGGCGATGCTGACGACGCCAAGGCCGTGTGCAAACCTTTCATACTGAGTAACCTGTTAAGTTGCAAGATTTAATTGCAAGATGTATCGTACATATATATACTTTGTAACCTGTAGAAGCCTATATATTGTTGTAGGACATACTTCAATATGACAACCAGCCCAGCGTGGGATCATCCCAGTGGTATCCTAGAAACGACGCGGCCTAATTAGGATTTTCCCCTTGACGGCAAGAGCGCTCTGCAGAGCACAACCCTCGAGCACAACATGGTAGTAGCTCTAGCATCGTAGAAATATATAGTACACGGGAAGGAGCTGCTCGTATGGACCTGAGATTGGTGCTTTGCCGACGAGAAAGCTCGACGAGAGCCACGTTGAAGGAGGCCTATCACCCTGCAACTGCCACGCCGACGCATCCCCCTCCACGTCCTCCTCCTGACCACACGTTCGTGTCGATGTGTCGAGAGTACCGTAGACAAATCTGTGCATTTTGACAGCTTGCTACACTCATCCGGCTGTACAACTTGTCTTGCGAGAAAATTTGTGGCGGCCCCGACTTGCGAGCGCCTGCTTCTAGCGGCACGCCATGACAGACTATGGGCATCGCCTACCAGTAAGGATCGTTTCTTGACGCCAATGGGAAATACGGAAGAGAGGAACTCGACGTAGTGCGAGGCTTGAGCGCTATCCCTTGCCCGGGCAGCAGGTCATTGGAGGCCGTGCGTGTCGGGTTCAACGGAGGTCGGCCGAGCAAAGGCAGATACAACAATGCAGTCGTTAAGGTCAATGATGATAGGAAGGTTGCGAGGTTTTCCAAGACTCAAAGCCGCCCCAGTCTCTCGTGACAGGTTTTTTCTGCTCGTGCACGATGATGTCGGTAGGCAGTCGCAACGCAACGCGGAGGGGCCATTGATGGCAGCGATGCAACACTCGACTCACTGGTAGGATCAGACCTCAACGAGCAATGTAGCAAGTGCGGTGGCAACGAGTGCAGGAGCCTGGACAAGAATCTGCGCTGGTGGACCGGACAAGATGTTGTATCGATGAGCGTGAACCACACGCGTTGCAACCTCCGAGTCGCTCCCGACCAGTCGATGTTCAAGCAACGATGCCTAGAACCCGATGCTTTCGCGGAGAGAGAGATTCCAAGCCGCTTGGAAGTCTGCTTGGGTCAAGCAAGACCAAGCCACCGATCCGAACGTACATCCATCAGGAACGAAATTCAGGAACGGCAGCCAAGAGCGGCGCTTCTAAACGCCGGCAATGCAGCATCGATGCCAGCCACTGCAAGCATCTAGTAGAAGATTGGCACCCGACAGCAGCGCCCGTAGACCCACCTTGCATCCGGTATGCATAGCCGCGCGCGCCGTCTCGGCGTGGCTGCTTTTGTCGCTTGCGCCGCGTTGCGTTGGTGCGCCGGCGCACCCACACCAACAAGAGCGAGCTACACGAGAGCGCTGTGGCAAGGTCGGGGCAAGGTGCGTGACACCGTACGTTACCAAGTCTGCCGCGACTGCTCACGTAATGACCATCAAATTTTGTTCAGCATGTGCAATGAGGCGTGCGTGGCAGTGATATTTCGGATCGCTTTGCAGCTCGACCCTACGGTACTGTAGAAATAATATCCGTCATGTTGGCTTCCCTCGGCTTCCCTCGCCGCCAAGCAGACCACGGCAGCACGAAACTCTCCCATGACAAATGCATCGTCCTGCCGTTGGGTGCCATCCAATGTGCACCGAATATGTAGTGGGCATCCCAATAGCCCAATACCTCTATACACAAACAAGATAGAAAGCAGATAGGACTTATCACTCTAGCAATGATCGTCGTCATGGCACTCGAGTGCTAAGTTATCGGTATGGCG